CAAAAGAAGTGTTAAAGCCTTGAGCAGATCAGCCATGACCCCTTGTTGAAAGGAAGTGTGGGTTGAGGGGCCAAATGGCACACTCCTCCTCTTGTTTCTTATGTTTAAATGGCCATACACTTTAGTCTTGGAACTGGCTTTTGCTTCAGAGAAATTTTGCTGACAATTCTTGGTGGGCACTGTAAGACACCTATTTCTCAATTACTCTATCTTTTGGGAGGTACATGGTTAAGGAGCAAATTATTGCAGATGCTGCAAACTTTACTGAAAACAACAAATGCTCTTCTTGAAAAGTCATCTAGACTCAAAACATTAGCTTACTCTTTCTCTATGAATGCTGGCTGACCCGTTGTGATCTCCAGCATTTGTTGTTTACACGTACATGGTTAACTGTCTTGGTTAAGATCACACATACCTGATCCGTCAATTGAAAATAACATTTTTCTGAAGAAGGGTCCTGACCTGAAACATTAACTTTTCCTGCTCCTCTGATGCTGCCTGGCCTGCTATTTTCCTCCAGTTCCACACTTTGTTATCTAATACATGCCATTTATTTTTAAATATACATCTGCCAATTTTACTTAGGTATGTTTACTAATTTTCAGACGAAGTGAAATTTGACTAGAAGGCAAGTTCTTTGAAAACTAGTCTGAAGCATGCAGTTCTATATGTAGGAACAGTTTAGTCTCCATGTGGTCTGGAGCATGGATGGAGCAGGGTTGCAGAAGGAAAGTATGGATATAGCAATTATAGAAGTAGGAATGGCGTTTCTGGAGAGCTTCCAGCAAACTTATGTAGATGATTTGCAGAATCAGTAACACCCAGACTACATGTAAATATAATATGGAATTACATTTCTCAAAAGAACAGAATCCTTTTCTTTCAAGCACAAATAAAACAAACTTCGATTTTAATTTTAAATGAAGTTTTCTGATTTTTTTTCTGCATTTGGAATTTGAGAAACTAACTAACATTTCAAAGTCCAGAGTGCTACATCAATTGCTAATTTTACAAGTCATGTTATTTCAATTCACTAACCTACAAATATCCCTGCTCCATCCATGCTCCATACCACATGGAGACTAAACTGTTCCTACATACAGAACTGCACGCTTCAGACTAATTTTCAAAGAACTTGCCTTCTAGTCAAATTTAATGTAATCTCATTAAATCAAATCTCATTCTTTTAATTTATTAAAAAGATACTTTGGTTTTGAGATGTCAGAATGACTTTGTAAAGTAACATTGCGTTAGCACAGAAATTTATAAGTTCTGAAATCTTGAAGATATTTCTTGGTAACTTTTTTTCCTATCATTTTTATTTTCCTGGCAAGAAAACTCTCTGAAAGTCTCCCTCAACTGAGAAAGAAGACTTCCATCATGAGACTGACAGGACTGTGCATAATCAGTTGTCAGAGGATGTTTCTACAGCGGATTGAACAAACTTTATCAGTTCTCCCTGTCCTAAGATGGAATATTGTCCTATTACATTCTTGCGTATCTATTGGAAAAAGACAATTACAAGCAGTGATGTTGATGCTTGAGTTACAGGTCAAGCCTGGGATAAATATGCAGGTTAGGTGGATTGGCCATGCTAAATTGCCCATAGTATTCAGGGATGTATAGATTAGGGGGATGGGTCTGGGTGGGATTCTCTGAGTGTTAGTGTGGACTTGTTGGGCTGAAGGGCTGTTTCCACACTGTAGGGATTCTATATCGTGTGGCTTTCTGGACTAGTCCACTTGTACTATCAGACTATTATACTAAATTATGCATTTTTAAAAGCTGAGTTACATGTGGAGAATATCGTCTTCTGTTGCATTATCAAATGTGGAGAAAATTCCACACTTTGTTAATCAATGTTTCTATATGCAACAACAAATTTCCAACTATGTAAACACTTGAAAAACATTCACTAACACATAAGGTCGACAAATCTTCTGAACCGGTTGATTTTTACCTCAAAGTGTTAACACAAATTGATAAGGGAATTTCAGGTATTTAGTGCAAAGAATGCCTAGAGAGAGATGCACTGAATTTCATCAAGTTTTGTTTCAAGCAGCTCTGTGATGCAGGACTCCATACTCCGCGGGCTGTTCCCTGGGATGCATACTGAGGAAAACATCAACTGTACCTGGAGAACCATCAACTCGGTGAAAAATACTCTTTGGTCTGCCGAAACTTGTTGGTCTTCCAGTGCAAAGAGTGGTCCACAACCAGGTGTTGCAAACTGCAACATTCCAAAGTCTGAGACAAGATGCTGAGGGTTGCATTAAGCTTGCGGCAGCCAAGGTGCAGTGGGGAAATGCCACTGTCTAAGGTCTTTCTGCCATGATACACCGAGGGTGTGTTAATTTATTGAACCATTCATAGTTTGTATTGGAATGTAAATAGTTTCTGGTCATAATTAGTAAATATCCTACTTTTGTACTTGGATTGAGACACCAATCTTCTGTGATATCCAACTCAAATTGTTTTGTAATGCACTTATAGATAATTCATGAATGAATGAAGATTATTTTTACAAAAAGAAATTGTAGACATTTAGACATAATTTTCCAAAGCTCCTGAAATTCAGGAATATACCTTTGGATTAGAAAAAATATATAAATGTCCTTCTTCTGCTCGGGGGAAGGTATAGAGAAAGCAGGCAATTACAGACCTATCTACTTAGGATCAATTGTAGGGATGTTACTGGAAACTAGCATCTCTGACAAACTGACTGAGCACATGGACAAGTATGACACAATCAGAAAGAGTCAGCATGGACTCAGGAACAGTTAAGTCAAATCTGACTAATCTCATTTAACGTTTTGAAGATCTCACAAACACAATTGATAGGAAGTGTCCATTATGTTATCTACATGGACTTCCAGAAAGCATTTGATAGAGTTTTGAATTAGTGTTTATTAGCAGAAATAAGGCTATGGAATAGGAAGTGACAGTATCTTTACAGGAATTGTTTCGAGACCAATAGTACAAGCCAGAATTTGTTCTCTGCTTGACAGTATTCTGTAATGGGGATTCAGCCTTCAGTTCAACACAGAGAGCCTTGACTCCAATCGTGTTCAAAGAGGTTCCCTATTCTCAGAACTAATCAGAGAGGCCCTCTCCTCACAGTCCAGTTCAGAGATGGTCCCAGTCTCCAGTTCAGGTCACACGGGTCCTCAACTCCCAGTTGTGGGATAGCAGGGCGGACGTATGAAGAGAGTTTGGATTGGTTAGGGCTATATTCACTGCGCTGTAGAAAAATTAGGAGGGATCTCCACAGGAGTCTTTGCTCCCGATCATGGTCACAGGAACCCTCTACTCCCAGCCCTGGTCACAAAGACCCTGTACTCCAATAATTTTGCTTCAAGCTGTTCCTAATTTGATTGCATGTGTACACCGTTCTCGGAGACAGGCAGTATCGTGATGTTGTTTACCCGGACAATCAATTAAAATGGGAAAGCAGCGTTTCAGTTAAATATTTTAATCAGGAAGTTCATCTCGCAACGGAGCGTTAGCAGGCGCTGCTCCGGATCTAACCTTACGTTCCTCGCATCAGGTACCAGCTGGAGCAGATGATCAGGAAGCAGAACGGCAGTGATTTCTCACTTGGGGCAACAGATCAGCTCGCACATTGCAAGCTCCAGGGGATCAAAAACCGACACGTTTATATGCGCGGTGCCTCCACCGGGCAACACCTCCTGGCACTGTCCTTGCGGTACACACACACACAACTGGAAGCTCATTATTGCAGCGAACACTTTTATAGAAATGGATCTATTTGCGGTGAAACAGTGAAAGGTGTTTTTTTTTTTAATTACAAAATGATGGTGAACATTAGAACGAACTAAGTGAGGAAAAGCAGTGCCCGGGGGAGAGGGCGTCATTCTCCCGAATACAAGAATCCCGTCTGCAGTGATGCTCTGAAATGTTTAATAAGTGACATTAGAAACAGCATGGATTAGCCTGTAGTTTTCTTTTCTCTCACTTGTCATGTCGAAGGCATGTCTTTTAACTCGCTGGCGCCAACTCCAGCTCTGAGTTACCGTGAAAACCGATCGATGGCACTGAGCTGTATCCCATTAAAACCCCATGCTCCAGCAGATTTAAATCTCTATCCGCGAGTAATTTGTGATGCACAATCGCCACGTATTTCGTGCCTTCTGTCCCTTTATCCCTATTAAATCTCTGGCTCTTTGGGGTTTTTTTTTGGTTTTTTAAAAAGATAAAACCTGACAGCGTTCGTTACCTGAACCCAATTGGAAGATCGTGTGCATCGCTTGTGGGTTTCAGCTGAAACGAGGGAAGGGGGGGAAGGGTTTGTCTTGGAGAGAGAGACATAGACATGTGAGTGAGCAGTATCGAGGCGCCACCTCCAGTCAGTGCAGGATACTGGGTAGGCCATTTACTGAATGAAACGCACTCGGTGATTGAGCGTGCAACAGTTGGGAAAAGCAAAGCTGTCTCTTTCCATTCCAGGAGCGGATCTGGGTTGAATGCAAACGGGAGAGTGAGCACATTCCCAGGTTTCTCTCTCTGGGAGTCTCTGGATAGACCGAAGCTCTGGGCGTGTTGGAGGAGGTGGGCGGGGGTGGAGGTAGTGAAAGAGAGGGGGGGTGTAGAAGGAGGAGGGAGAGAGAGAGGGTTAAAAGGCAGTGATTTCTCAGCATCTCTCTATATATCCAAACCCCCCCCCCCCACCACCTTCCTTCTCCTCCTTTCAGGGGAGGGTCCTCAAGACTATTGGATCTTTTGAAGGTGACGTACCCAGTATGAAAACATAATAACTAGTTGAGAAGCTGCAATAAGAAACTTTGACGGAAAAGGCGCTTTTGGGGGGTGGGGGTAGGGAAGGGAAGGGGGGGTCGGGCAAAAAAAAGGGAGAGAGAGTGTGTGTGTGTGTGGATGTGATACAAAGTTACCGAGGTGAGAGCCTGAGGGGGGACACTCACTGCTGTAACAAGAAGGGAGAGACACAGAGAGAGGGAGAGGGGGGGTGGGGGGAATCGAAGATGGTTCAGCAAACCGCGGGGAAGTTTGAAGCAGACGGCGGCTTGTCCCGGGATGTCCCGGAGAGTGAGTTCCTCGCTTGTAGCCCGGCGGCGGCGGCTCCTTCTCCTTGCGAGGGGGACCCGGACTGGTGCAAGACGGCGAGCGGCCACATCAAGCGGCCGATGAACGCGTTCATGGTGTGGTCGAAGATCGAGAGGCGGAAGATCATGGAACAGTCGCCGGACATGCACAACGCCGAGATCTCCAAGCGGCTCGGCAAGCGCTGGAAGACGCTGCGAGACAGCGAGAAGATCCCGTTCATCCGGGAGGCGGAGAGGCTGCGGCTCAAACACATGGCCGATTACCCCGACTACAAGTACCGGCCCCGGAAAAAACCCAAGACCGAGGCGGTCAAACAGCAGCAACAGCCCGCTCCGTCTCCGGCACCCGGTCTAACGCCGGAGAGAAGTCACGGCAAAAGCTCCAAACATTCGGGCAAGAAATGGAGCGGCGGCAAACTCAAACCTCCCAAACCCTGCAGCAACTCTTCGTCCCCCCCGTCTCAGGCAAACGGGGAGATGTCCGAGGATTTTGTCTTTGGGAACCTGAGGGGGAACAAGACGGTGCGGAGTGTGTTCGGGGGCGGGGGTCCCGAACCTCTCCTCCCTCAGCAAGCGGCGGATTCCACCCTCCTCTCTAGCCCCCGGCGGGCCAGCGTGGCGGCCGTGCCGGCCAGCCCGACCCTCAGCTCGGCCGCCGACTCGGTGGAAGGGGCGAGCCTGTACGAGGAGCGGGACGGAGGGAGGAGGAGGACGGCTCCGGCTCCGGCCAAGGCGAGCGGAGGCAGGAGGGGCTCGCATTCGCCCAGCTCCAGCCGCCGATCGGTCTCCACTTCGAGCGAGGAGGCGGACGATCTGCTCTACGACTTCAGCATGAACTTCTCTGGGGCGGGCGGCAGCAACAGCAGCGGGGCGGGAGGAAACAGCTCGGATCCGCTCAGTTCAGGGAATGTCAGCCTCTCGCTGGTGGACAAGGACTTGGATTCGTACAGCGAGGGCAGCTCCGGCTCTCACTTTGAATTTCCAGACTACTGCACTCCAGAACTCAGTGAGATGATCGCGGGCGACTGGTTAGAAGCCAACTTTTCCGACCTGGTCTTCACGTATTGATCTATTCCTTTTCAACAAGATATTTTTTTTGGGAAGAAAACAAAACCCCAGAACTTTTCTTTTCTGTTGGTTGCTTTTATGACAGGATGTTTTTTTTTAAATTCAACACACAATTGCCACCATCTGCAAGTCTCCAGGTCCGATCCGCTCCTCGATTGGGATATTTTCCCTTTCCCGTCTGTGAAGCCCTCCCAAAAGATGTTTTTTTTATATATATATATAATAGAAACACAAACTGTTACTTTGGAAATCGTGGCCGGACTTTCTTTACAACCCTTTGGCGGCGCAACTGTTAAAAGCAGTTTTGTTGGATGTTCCGAGCGGGACCACTATAGAGAGAGAGAGAGATGTGGACACTGCAGGGAGTTTTAAAACGGCAAAAAAATTTGAGAACCCAGGCTTGTATGCGAACAGTTTTATCTTACACCACGACGCTGAAGTTAACGTGATCAGTTGTACTGTTTTAAATCGTGTGATGTATATGCCAATAAGACTGTTTTTTGCTCTGTAAATTTTGTTTCTGTTCCCTCACAATTACCTCCTTTTACCACCTAATGACACAGGCAGCATAAACCTCAAGAGTATAAGTTCTTTTTTGATACATGCAGACCTCAAGACTTTTTAAAACGAAGAAAAAGAATACTAAATATTTTCACTTGTATTTTTCTATAGCCGAAAGGGAACCTTCTTGCTGTGATTATCCAGTGAGAATTTCTGGCACTTCCTTTTTTTTTAAAAAGAATTATTTTCCTCTTTTCCTTCTTGTATAGCATGCGAACGTTGGTACGTCCTGCTTTAAAGGATTCAAAAACATTTTTTTTGTGGGAAAAAAAGCAAAATCCTTGCATCAATGCCTTGTGATTTTAAATCTGCAAGTGCTCAGTCTTTTTGTACAGTTGTAGATTTAGATTTGTTGAATATTTGTAGGTAAGAAAATTTATTGAAAAGACGTGAGATAGAACTCGAGTCGTTCCTAGTGAGATTATATGTACTGTATTATATACTGTAGGAATTCTATGTGTACTCATACGCTGTGATAAGTGGGTTAAATCCCGATGACAGGTGTGAAACTGGAGGATTTTTAACATGGCACATGTGAAATCTTAATTCATTTTTGTGCAATATGAATCAGATCATCTGCACATTTTGTAGCAAACTTATGAACTAAAACAGACGTGTGCACTGTAATCATTGCCTGTCTTGATGCTAAGAGTCTGTATCGGGGGAGGGGCAGGGGAATTAAATAAAGAAATCAGCTGGAACTGATCGTAACAGAAGCATTGCCATGCATTTATACGGAATATTAACGTCGATCCGCTTACTAACTACACTCTTGGGCAGTAAGTTCTGACTGTGCAGTGGAAAAGATGCCAGTAGTTCTGGCATCGATAACGGACCTTTTTTTTTAAATTTATTTTCTTTTCGTTAACGAGAAACAGCAGCATCTGCGAACACTGTCGAACAGACAAAACATCAGAACGGGCATTGTCGCTTTAAATCCAAATCCCCGCCTTTATCTGAGTCACCAGCCGAACGTGACCGCGCAATGTTGTCCCTAAGTATAGGAGGCATGATTCCTCGAAGTCCCATTTCTGAGACAGGATTGGCAGTAAAATTGCCCGATGCTATTTTAATAAGTTACGTGCACGATTATAGCGCCACTGTACTGAAATACAATCAGCCGGTTGAGTCCCGGGGTTTAATCTTTACCTTCCAAACTCTGAAAGACCTGAAACCGAAACAAAAACAGAAATCGTTGGAGAAACTCTGCAGACGGGTCACTGGATTCGAAACGTTAAATCTGTTTCTCTCTCCACAGATGCTGTCAGACCTGCTGAGTTTCTTCACTAGTTTCTGTTTTTCTTTCAGATTTCCAGTATCCGTAGTTAGTACTGTTCTAAAGGAGCTGCTTCGGGCAGTGAACAAAAGGTTGTTTCTGAGATTAATCCAACGTTGACCATACAGGTACATAAACGTTCTCATAAATCCAGGTTTTGTTTTGGCAGTCCAACAGAAAAATAACAAAAAAGAAAACATAAAAGAGTTTGGGCTTTCATGTGTACCTATGCAGTTCTTAAATTTGTATAGTACTCGACTCAAATTTCTTAGTCCTAAAAAAATAGACTGGTCTTCATTAATGATTAGTAAGAAACACATTAGACTGTTCCAGCAGCGATCAATTGCAGGCTGTGGTGAATGTTCGAAACACGCCCAACTGTGAGTCTACCAGAATCCTGCACGTTCATACAAACATCACCCCCCGCCCCCCACCCGTGCCACCGATCGAGTTTCTTGCCACCCAAAACCAACATCGCTTCTTTCCAAGTTGCTGTTCTTTATTCCCGTGCCAAAGATGGTTGGTCAGTCACCACTTACAGAGTAATTAATGGGGTTGACAGCCGGCAAGGTAGCTGATGGAATCACAGATTTCGAAATTTCTGGATAAATTGAGAATTGTGCTGCCCAATCTGATTGAAAGCATGATATGTGGAGGGATAGTAAAAGTGATTTTCCAAAATTGGACAATCACATGTATCTGAAGACTCAATGGACATTTCTTAAATATGGGCTGACGTTTTGTGCAATTTGTACAAAAAGATTGAAAATGTCCAATTTCCCAAATGTGTTGTCATGGTGCATGGGTTGTTCAGGTGTATCACTTGGAATTACAATGGACCATATGCAATCAACACTTACATGAATTTGCAGATGTCTCAAACTACAGATACAATCAAGCAGCCCAGGGATTTTGATTTTGGATTATCCACTAATAAACCATCAACACTGGCAACAGCCATTTGCCAATGCTGTCCCATAAAATTCTAAGAGGGCCAGCCAACAAGTAAGAAAGCAAATTCAGTCATCTGAGTTTCTTGGGCTGAGTTTGCTCCGGGGTTGTGGTCTGGTCACGCTCCTTCAGACTTTCTGTAAGGTAGCTTTGGGGACTTGAGGTAAGGGGAGCGGAAATGATTTACAGCCTTGAAAGCACTCTGTCTAAAAATTGTGATTTAGTCATCTGGACTTGTTATTGAGCATCTGACTGTTTCAAAAAGTGCATTTTGAGTGACTAGTTATATTTTTCTCATGTATTTCAACAACAATTTGTCAAATTATCCCAAACACTGCAAATGCACATTAGTCTTAGAGCAGCGTTGAACAATATACAAACTTTAACACTTATAATCAATACTTTAAAAAGACAGAATATAAAATAATTTAAAAATAGTGGAAGTAAAAGTGTTATTTGGGCAAGGCAATGATTGGACAATCAGTTTCTGGTTTTCTCCACTACTGCTGTGTCTCCTTGGTCAACTTGCTGTGAAATGTACTTTAGTATTTCCCTCAGAGACAAAAATGGAAAAGTTTGCTCTCGAGGGGAAGCTTCACAATATTTGTTTGTTAAGGCTAAAGAATATTGTTCCGCTTGATATTCAAGTTACTTGAAATTATTCAAGTTACTTAAAAGTACAAGTAACAATACCCAGAGGTGAAGAAACATTTTTTTAAAATCTAGATGGGATAACTAGTTGACTGAGCAACTCATGACTTCTACATCAATAAAGCTATTGCATGTGCCCACTATCTATGGTATTCAAGCTACTTAAGTAACATGGGCACATGCAATAGCTTTACTGATGTAGAAGCAGTGATTTGCTTAGTCAAATAGTTATCCCATCTAGATTTTTAAAAAATGCTTCTTCACCTCTGGGTTTTGTTCACATCCAGCCTCCTATAGCAGAAGTCTGCTGTGTCTAAGGATACTATTTATAATAAAATTGGAAAGTTTAAGCCTAGTCCCTATTGCATTTCACAGCACTTTTCAGTGAATTCAACACAAGTTGGTACTAAATTGACAGTTCAACTTAAAAAGGATATAAATGTTACTGATGTAGGGAAATAAGGACATTTCATACTGCAGTTAAGAAAGTATTCCTCCGTGGTGGGTGTGCAAGTAATAGTGTAATTGGTAACCCTTCCCATGATGTTTTGTACAATATAACCTAAAATTAAATATGCCTTCAGTAAGTTGTTTTCTTTTTGTGACTAGTCCAATATTTTCATTTTCAGGATTGACATAATCATTTCCCAATTCTTGTGTTTATCTGTTTTGACACAACTATGCTGGATGCTATTCACATTGTTAATTCCCAATACATATTAGTTCCAGCACAATATTGTCCTCCAGTATTATCTTTAGAGCCAGATGTTCTACTCATGTACACAGTTCACTATTTTAACAGCATCTAGATTTTGCAATATCTTCTAGTTCCTTAAAGAAGATTTAACTGCAATCTTTGAGTCTTCACTTGGATTTTGTTTCCTTATGACATGTTGTTACAGTAGAGCACAGAGTGCTTTCCTTTGAATTTGACCTGTGTTACATTGATGAAAAAAACAGAAAATTATTCCATGGCCGTGGGCTGTTTCCAAATCTGGAACAAAGAAAAATAATCAGAAATAAGATTTTTAATTTGGTTGTCCCAATGCAAAGCACTAAATATAGCCTACTTTACTATGATAAATGTAGATTCTAAAGATGGTCAACTTGAAACACAGCTTAGTTTCAGAAGCCAATAGCTGCTGAATGTACCAAAAGAAAATTTTGTATAAACATTGCTGCATTTGAAACACAGAGATCACTGAGCTAATTATTTCAAAAAGATTTCCAGAAGGTTGGTTTTGGGCACTGTGGTATTAACAGTACTTTGTGTCTAGGACTGAAATTTCCTTTGTAAATCCTTCTACATCTTCACATGGCACTCATCCTTTAAGATACTTAAAACCCATGTATGGACAGATGTTGGTTGACCTCCTAGTATCTTCTCCTTTAACTCTGCACCTCTTTGAGTACTTTGGGACACTTTTCTGCATTAAAAGCAGTAAATAAATGTGAGATCTTACTATAGACACAACCAATAGACCACTCCTCCAAAAGCTATCAATCAAACAAGTTTGGTGAGGATTTAATTACAATTACATTTTACTTAATACATGCTATTAATTTGAGATGAAGACAGATTAACAAATTGCAAGTGTAGTTGTAATCGTGTATTGGAGGTTAGCTTTAAAATAATATTTTACTCTGGAATTCATCATAATGACTACTGGATCTTCAGACAGACTTCAGTGTAGCCATTTTTGAAATGTAATCTGGCACAGTCAGTAAAGCAAATTAAGAAGTGTAATTCAATCTTTCCTACAGCTATGCTTTGATGAACTATAGAGAAAAAATATGTTTTGTAATTCTACAATATCCTTAAAAGAACGATAAATCACATCAGTTCTGGTCATCGAAATTGGAAATACGTCTTGCTGAATGCATCGTTTTGAGCATTTAATCAGATCTCACACATCAAATCTAAATGGCTTTCAGTATCACAGGTGTAATGCAATGAAGTTGCACATCTATTAGTGTTTTTGGGAGTTGTAATCTGAACAATCTGACACTGAGAAAGAATACTGAATGCTGATATGGTAGAAGTCTTTAGGAATCTGAAGAGGCTTGTGGAGCTACCAAAACTACAGACCATAAATAGAACTTACCAATAAATCCAGTATTCAGACAAAACTTCTTTACTCGGAGGGTGGTTCAAATATATGATTCTGTGCCATAAGGAGCAGGTGAAACCAATATGCTGATACAATGTTTTCATTTTTTACACCATTCATGTCTATTGTCTCATGTGAGAGAAAGGGAGAGAAGGATAGATGGTGAAAAGTGAGAGGAGTCATGAGTGAGGTGTAAACACTGGCATAGACCTCTGGAAACAGCCTTTAGTAGACCCAGTGTTGTTCTTTCTTACTTTATTGACCAGTTAGCCTTGTGGCTTCAGCGTGATATGTACAATCTTGGTGCTAATTAGTACTTAGATTATTACATTTTGTTAACTCTGTGGTCTGCATTCAAAGTATATGAAATAAAAAGGCACCAGGTGCAGTGGGAGCAATCTGGAATAGTGATTTCGGCCAAATATTTTTAGGCCAATCTATGGGAATGCTAATACAAATAAGCAATTTGAATTATTTTGTGATGAAAGGTCATATTTAAAGTTAAACTAAACATTTGGTGATTAACAGCTTTCCATTTAAGTTCTGACATCTAACGAGCCTCTTATTAAAAACATAAGGTTTAATAGTTCCCCATTTTCTGTGTACACTTCAGATTTTATTGCCAGGATTGATTCAATTGCATGATGTGATATGATACCATAAGACAAACAAATGAACATTTCTTATTCTTTCATTTCTTATATAATAATTCTGTTATGAAA